GATCAGTGGCAGCAGCCCCCGCAGTGTCCGCCCCCGTGGGTGTGTCCCGCCGAGGCCTCGCCGTGCTTGGTCCGCCTGCTCAGGATCTCGTAAGAACAGTCGTCGCCGCAGCAACCGGACATGCTCGGTGAGGTCTCATCGATCTCAAACCTGGAGGTGAGGGGAGACGGCGAGCTTCGTTAATGGGAGACCGAAGGAAGTCTGGTTTCAGACGAAGAAGGACCGTTTCCTGCCTGTATGTGACCTTTATAAGTGGGAACTTCCTGGAGAGTTAATGCACTAATGATGGCGATCACATTAAGACGCCATAACTGTAAGACCCGCCAGTCCCACACGAAAGAGAAAGTAAAGGATAATTCATTAAGGCAGCGCCGTGATGTCTCCATTATCCCAATAATAACCCTCAACAGTCCTCGTGTTTGCAGCGCAGTGATCATAACAAAACTGACTGTGGTATCATGAGATGAGGACCACTAAAAATGAAAGTCACCAGTTCAGTGTGGGACTAAAAGGGAACTCCGGTTGCAATCTTTGCTTCTGTTCCAGTGTTACGACATTGAATAAAGGCCAGAGAAGTTCCACATTTCTCTATGATTTCATCTCATTTGTGTTACATTTTCAGAGTTAAAATTCCTGGATTATGTCCAGAAATACATTTTTGGGAACTGCCAGCTTTGCCCGTTCCTTTCTGATCTAAGACAGCAACTTCACGAGAAAGAGACTAACCCACAACACCCGTGGAGCCATTAATACTGAGCTGTGAACCACGTCATATTCTAAGGAGCTTGGAAAGAAAAGCGTCTGGACTTCTTTAGGTTTCTTGAAGACGTTTCACCTCTCCTCCAAGAAGCTTCTTCAGAGCAATTGGTGGAGAGTCCCAGATTATAAACCCTATGGGAGGGTCAGGGTGTGGGTCACAATCAGTTTCGGGTGAACCCATTGTGAAACCTAACCCCACCCTATCATGTGATGGCTTCACCTGAAACCTGTTTTCACACCTTGGCTCGTGTGAGTAGGTAGAGGATCAATCGGGGGTCCATGACCCTCTTGGGGTCATTACAGACTACGATGACCTGGGTGACTGAGAAGCTTCACAGACAACTAACTTATATCATATTCCATAATAATATAATATAATATAGTGTCCATTGAACATTTGTCTCATTACAGTTAAACCCTCCATATTTCCTAAGCGTTAAAGAGCCGGCATACTCACTGTAAAGCTTCTCTGAAGAACTGGTAGGCCCCTTTGTTCTGTTTAAAAACTGTCAACATCACCTTCTTCATCTGTGTACTGGACAGAGGACAAAAAAAAAGAAACACTTGTCTTTAGTGTAAAGTGACCTGAAGGCGTGACCATAGACTGTATATAAAAGATGGCTGTAGCCCATGTTTTAGCATTTGTTTGTTATGATAAATGTGCTGTGAATGCGATGTTACAGTCAGCTGTAACCAACTTCACAGTCACCAAAATGTTCCCTCCCATAGTCACACAACCGAAGTGTTTTACCTGTTAGCGATGAGCTGGAGTATCTGGATGAG